CAAGAGCAAACAGCAAGGCGTGAGCATCAGCCTGTCGCTTTAGGGATGAGCAGCTACAAAGTAATGTACACCATGCCATTCCCTTCATGTGAGAGTGTAAATAAAGATGCTTGATATTCTGTGTCAACAAACCAATGACGTTGAATTCAACCTACGGATTTGCCAAACAAATCTCAGGTGCTAGCTGTGAGTGATGGGAGGTCTCCATTTAAGAGAAGTACTTATGCATCCACACCTGGCAACCATATTGGCAGATTCCCTCAACCATGATGACGAAAAATACCCCTCAGTAAACAGTTGACATCCCAAAACAAAGATCTGCGGGCGGATTTCAGAATGCTGCGTTGTCTCTTGCGATTTGTTTCACAGAGAAGATCACATGGAGTAAAATATCACACTACAATCTCTCATACAGTAATATCACTCCAGGTCGCGGCAAATTAGGATGGCTGCTGAGATGGGTTTCCCACTCTGAAACAGCTTGGGATTTCAAGCATCCACCAACATGTCTCAAACTGCATGCTGAGGTTTGGAAAGCCCAAACGTCTTCAGAGGGATGGCACATCTGATTACCACGTTCCTTTCTACATTACCGTTATCAGCAGGCATACGACAGACCATGACCAGCTCTCACCTAATTCTTCTGCCAAATGCATACATACATATATGATCAAAATGAAAGTGCACAAAGTATTGCAGCCTACAAATGTTGAGCAACCAACTGATGCAGCTAGGATTTATTGATCCATGCTGGCCCTCTCAAATAGATGTATGTGCGGTACGACCGACTTTTAAGGATATGCTGACTCGTCAAAATTATTCAAATTATCTTTTTTGATTCCTGATACTTGGGTAAACATGATTGACCTGCATGTGCTTATTGCATTGGTGCCGAGATATCCGTATCAAGAGTACTTTTGGTACGAATATCTCTTACACATGAGCGTCACAAGGGGAGGGCAAGGGGGCCACCCCCTAAAAAAATACAAATAAAGAGAACTAAAAAAAGGGAGAAAGGGGAGGAAAAGGGAACAAAGTGGCAAAAAAAGTGAATGAGGATGAAAATCACCAATTTACTTAAAAAAAAAAAAAACTCAAAATTGACCCCCCCCCCCCACTAATTATTGTTTACAAGTTCTCCAATGACAAGTGCTCACTCGTTCCCAGTAAATTTTCCCCCGGGAAAAAAGTGGTTTGTCCCCTACCTTTGGAAAAACTCCTACATTTACGTTTATTCTTGTTTTTTTTTCAAAAGCTTCATCTGTCAATTAATGATAACCATCCGTGCACGGCCAAAGTCACTTAACAAGGGTAATTGGATGGCTAGACCACCTTAGCCACTTTCACGAGCAAACACAACTTTTGTTTAAATGGCTCCCTCAAAAACTACCGCTGCCGCACTCCAAAGTCCAGAGTCACTCTTTCTGAAATAGCTTGACTTGGCACGCGCCACAAATTTGATAACCCACTTTTTAATCCATAAAATTTAGTAAAAAAAAAAATAAGAGAGAGTCTGTGTGCTTTGTGATGTGCCGATGGCACATTTTGAATGGTCATTGTCCAAGTGAATTGTTTCAACTGGGAAATCTACATCTGTGTCGCTGAGCTATCTCAGAGTGAAGACAAGATTGTGTTGGTGTGTGATACCAGGTTGAGAATTTCACCTAGCTCATTGTCTCTTAAGATCCATGGTGGAAATGACTATGAATCTTTGCACCTTGGCTACAATGGGCTCTGCACAGAATATCAATAAATACAACATAAGGTGCCGCACAAGGTTTGTTTTTTTTTAATAGATAACATAATGGCCATTTCATATTTTTACTTTGTGGGAAAGAATTTAAAATCAAACATTTGGCACTTAGACAGATTCTCCCACAACAAATTGTCAAAACCATACAACAAAATAGCTGATGATGCATAATGCTTGATACAGAAATAAGCTTGTGTTGGACAAAACATGATATCTCCCGGTAGTTCACAATTGCATCTTGGTTTGCAAAGGGTAAATTGAATTATTTACACTGTATACTGTTGCTAGATTTTGGTATACTTTCTTTGACTTTGCCATAAAACTGGTTCTGGAAAGACTGTCTTCTTTACCATGACCAAAGACGCATCACAAGTTTTTCCTGCAATAAACCATGGACCAAATACAAGGAGTTGGACTAGACTCAAATCTAGAATAAATGGAAGGTCTTGGAAAAGACAACAACTGTAACTTGGGCCAGGCTACCGGGATATGGAGTTACATCAGAGCCAGAGGGAAAATTTCAGTTCTGACACACAAAATCGCAGATGCCTTTTCCCATATTGACAACTCCTGCATAGATAAGCACCGGGCGATATCAATGAGATGGCAGGATATGTAAAGCATGATTAATCCCGGTTATGGCAGACAGATTTTATCAACATGTCCTCACTAAAGAAACAGAGCATTATGGACAGAACAGAACAAATACTGACATCAGAAATACTGCCAGAGGTACAGTATTTAGTTACACCTTATATATTATGAGTAAACTAGAACATGGCTTCCATGAAGGCTTTACAGACACAAAACAGCCAGTTATGCTTATTTTTAGGAGTATTATCCTTCAAGTAAAATGCAATGAAGAGAAAAAGAGAACTACTTTTCATGCAGAAAAATGGCGTTTCTCTTTGCTATGGACATTTTTACTCTACAAAAATCTACATGTATATTTCTCAGAGTAAAACACTGAAGTAACACAGTTATGGCACATGTATTCAACAGAGCAAATATTCTTCTCATGACTTTTTACAATTTCAATCACCTGCATTCATTTCTAGGTGAAATCACCCTCTATTTTTTCCCCTTCACTGGAGAGGTTCTAACATGTCTTACCTGTTATTACAATTTTGTTCCAATGGTATTAAGTATTAGAGTTACATGTACTCAAAAACTCAAGTTGCTCAACTAGTTTATTGTCATTTTAAGAAACACAGACCTTCTCTTTCTGTGCCATAGCTGTCCCTGTGTTTTGATTACTAGTGGCAGCAAACCTATAGCTGGCTGTGAGTTACAGAGGTTGAGGAATAATTTTCAAAGTTTAAAAAACAATCTAACGCAGCAATCGAAAGACCAAATTATTAAAAGCTTTGTGCAAATATGCGCCCCTTTAACGGGTAATAAAGCGAACATTTATTTTGAGGCAAAGAACCTGCCACAGATCAAGGATGATATTTCTGCAAACTTTGGCCCCCTGACTTGAATTGGAGCTCCTCCCCCTCCCTTCCCAGACCTAAAGATTTGTTTAAAAAAAATGCACGTTAACTATCACTCTATTTATCAGTAACTGATGATACATGCTTTTTGCTCCAAGCTGTGGTCCTCTGAAGACATGTCCAGTAATTGATCGTTGGTCAGCCAACGAAATATGAACAAATGTGAGACATGACAGATACTTAATGCATACCCTAATTTAGTCTGGTTGGCGCCAACTTCTCAAATGACAAATCAAAAAATAGGTCACGCAGATAGATTTCAGAAGGAGCATCTTGTCTAGTACAGGAATATTATGATGGATGTAACAGGCAGCCAAAAATATGTCTGATAATGGCAGCTTCTAGACAGCCCTCTCTAGGAATCCATCAACGAAAGCATCTTTTTAACACAAAAATTGGATGAAAGATGTATCTTTCAAAGACGTATCATCATCTTTCATCCTTTAAATCAACTTGACATCTGGCGATTTATCTTTTACTTCTTTTGTATTTTTGTGCGTGATATGGTGATGTGTATGTGCTGTGAGCCCTAACAGTCCTCAGTCCTCCAACAGGTGAAGGATTGAGGACTGTAACTGTGTAGAATTCTCTTCATGTTTTTGTTTAATTTTTTCAGATTTTTATAACTGTACATACTTTTAAATCTTTTGGACAGAAATGAAGAAATTAAGAAATGAAACAAAAGTGACAACGCCATTGTTTTTGTTTTATTGTTTTGCCTGCAAATTTGTCTTCAATTTGGCACAAGAATGTCGGCAAAACGTGTCACCATTAACCATTCCCTGCCGGGGATTCCAGATCTGGGCACTTATGCTTTATATGCAAGGCTGGGGTGTCCAAACTCGGACAAAGGGAACAAGGCCTTGTAACAAAAGACTGTTCTCGAACAAAAGACCAGGCTGCTGGGCTTTACCGACATTTTTTCACTCTCAAAAGTGGA